TGCCGCCCGGAGCTCTGGCAGGCGCTCGGCCCACCGAGGGGCCACGGACACGGGGAGCCACGCGGCGAGGGCATCGAATGCAGTCGGACTCGATTGGACAGGACACGCGAGAGGACACAAGACCCTTCCGAGGGCCACATGGCCACAGGAATGCAGGAAATATGGGTTGCGAGACGCAGGACACAAGGGTACTTGATTAGGCAGGGTCGGGTCGGGCCTGTCCTCCTACAGGCGGGTTGTGGAAGAAATAAGAGGAGGAAAAAAGAAACAGCACTCAGCAATTGCCAAGACTGCTCGAAAAAGCGTCCCCAGACTATTTGTGGGCTGCGTTTGGCGATTCCTCCTGTAGAGGGACACGCACGACTGAAACTCTGCTCCACTCGCGCCCCGTTCAGCCAAGAAGCATGGCCCCGGCCAAGGTGGGAACGGCACCCCACAGCGGTGCGGGTTCCCTGCGCCGAGCGGCGGGTGCGACATATAGCGCGCTCTCAGTGCTGAAAGATGTTGAGATCACTGTCCAAAGCAGACCATGCTCCAGGAACATTGACGACATCTGTCCAGCTTCGGTCCCTGGGGTCTCCCAAACAACGCTTGCACATCCAATCAAGATCATCGTCCCACCGCCTGGACGGTCCTCCGATCCGGTACCGCTCCTGTTGCGTCTGCCTGGGCTCCCATTGCAAGTGACAGGTTGAAAAACCATTTGAACATATCCTGCCCTGTCGTAGAAGGTTTGTCGTAAGATGCAGCGCCCCCCCCAACCTGTCGAGGCGAACCTAGATCGAGCTTCAAGCGAGCATCAGCCTCCTGGGCAACAGCTTTTGTGCGCGCCCCGACCCCGAGCGCCTTGCCGGAGACGAGCTCGACGGAGTCGTGAATCTTCGCCTTCAGGCCTGGGGGGAACAAAAAAGCATCGATACCACTACACCCCGGACATCTCCTCGGGTGCGCGCTGGTCCAGATTTCGAAGGGAATCCGGGCGCAGCAACGAGGGCCTCCCATGAGGCCCTGAGAGGCCCACTCGTGGGCATAGGTAGCGGAATCGGTACATCTTCCTCTTCGGAATGCCTGCGTCGCAGACCTTCGGGATGAAATTTGGCGTCCAGCCCTGGATCGGGTGCGGCTTCCAGGCGGGGTGCGCTCCTGCGGGGGCGCCGAACAGCCCCATGACCTCCTTTCGTTCCTGCTCCACGCCGCTCGTGACTAGCGGGGCCGCGTCGGGCTCCGACAGGACGACCTTGATGTTCGGGAGAGCCTCGCCGGCCACGCGCGAGGAGGGGCGCGTCAGGTGTCGCCAAAAGTGCCCCTGGCCCAGAATGCCCTCGGGATTTCCAGGTAGGCCCCCGTGGCCTCCAGAGCACCCCATCGCGAGGCCCAGATGACCCCATGGGGCCCATGGGGCTCCAAAGGGGGGCGAATAGGGGGGATGGGGGAGGGGGAGGGGGAGGGGGGGGAGGAGGAGGAGGAGGAGGAGGAGGAGGAGGAGGAGGAGGAGGAGGAGGAGGAGGAGGAGGAGGAGGAGGAGGAGGAGAGGAGGGAGGAAGAGGAGGAGGAGAAGGAGGAGGCGGAGGAGGAGGAAGAGGAGGAGGAGGAGGAGGAGGAGGAGGAGGCGGAAGAGGAAGAGGAGGAGGAGGAGGAAGGAGGAGGAGGAGGAGGAGGAGGGGAGGAGGAGGAGGAGGAGGAGGAGGAGGAGGGCGAGGGGGAGGAGGAGGGGAGGAGGAGGAGGAGGAGGAGGAGGAGGAGGAGGGGAGGAGGAGGAGGAGGAGGAGAGGCCGGGGGATTGTGGAGTCCCTGTGGGTTTCAGACGATTATTTACGATATTTCACGTTGCTCCTCATCATTATTCTAATATTTCCTCTCTCGCATTCTCTCTCTCTCTCTCTCTCTCAATCTCTCCCACATCCATTCCCATTCCATTCCCATTCACATTCCCAATAGCATTACCATTACCATTCCCATCCCCATCCCCATTCCCATTCACATTACCATTACCATTACCATTACCTTTATCTTTACCTTTACCTTTACCATTACCATTACCATTACCATTACAATGGCCATGACAATTGCCATTGTCATTGCCATTGCCATTGCAATTCCCATTGCCATTGCCTTTACCAGTGCCGTTGCCATTGCCATTGTATTGCCATTGCCAGTCGCCACCCCGCTACCATTACCATTATCGTTACCATTACCATTACCATTACCAGTCCCATTACCATTAGCCACTACCATTACTATTGCCATTACCATTAGCATTACCAACACCATTGCCATTACCAGTACCATTACCATTACCATTACCGCTGCCATCACCATTACAATTCCCATTCCCATCACCATTGCCATTACCATTACCGTTACCAATACCATTACCATTGCCATTATCATTACCACTGCCACTACCATTTCCATTCCCGTTCCAATTACCACTACGATTCCCATTCCCATTCCAATCCCCATTACCATTACCATTACCATGACCATGACCATGACCATTACCATTACCATTGCCATGGCCATTGCTATTGCCATTGCCATTGCCGTTGCCATTCCCATTGTCATTGCGATTGCCATTGCCATTACCATTGCCATCGCCGTTGCCATTGCCATTGCCAATCGCTACCCCGTTACCATTGCCAAAACTATTACCATTACCGTTACCGTCACCATTACCATTCCCAGTACCATTACCATTACCACCGTCATTGCCTTTAGCATTACCATTGCCATTGCCATTGCCACTCGCCACTACCATTACCATTGCCATTCGCCACTACCATTACCATTATCATTGCCATTGCCATTCGCCACTACCATTAACATTGCCAGTACCATTACCATTCCGATTCACATTCCCATTCCCAATACCATTACCATTACCATTACCATTACAACAGCCATTGCCATTACCATTACCAGTATCATTACCTTTACCTCTACCTTTACCTTTACCCTTACCCTTACCATTCCCATTTCCGTTACCACTACCACTGCCATTTCCATTCCCGTTCCCATTCCTATTCCCGTTCACATTCCCGTTCCCGTTCCCATTCACATTACCATTACCATTACCATTACCATTGCCATTGCCATTGTCATGGCACTTACCATTGCCATTCCCATTGATATTGCCATTGCCATTGCCATTGCCAGTACCATTACCGTTGCCATTGTCATTGTCATTGCCAGTCGCTACCCCGTTACCACTATCATTACCGTTACCATCACCAGTACCATTACCATTACCTCTGTCATTACCATTACCATTCGCATTGCCATTGTCATTACCATTAGCCACTACCGTTACCATTGCCAGTACCAGTTCCATTGCGATTCCCATTCCAATGACCATTACCATTACCATTACCATTACCATTACCATTACCATTACCATTACCATTACCATTACCATTACCATTACCATTATCGTTTCCATTACCATTACCATTACCATTACCTTTACCTCTACCTTTACCTTTACCCTTCCCCTTACCCTGATCATTCCCATTTCCGTTACAACTACCACTGCCATTTCCATTCCCGTTCTCGTTCCCATTCCCATTCACATTCCCATTCCCGTTCCCATTTCCACTACCATTGCCAGTACCATTACACTTACCATTGCCGTTGCCACTGCCATGGCCATTATCATTGTAATTGCCATTGCCATTGCCAATCCCATTGCCATTGCCATTACCATTGCCATTGTCATTGTCATTGCCATTGCCAATCGCTACCCCGTTACCATTACCATTACCGATACCATTACCATTACCACTACCATTACCATTACCTCTGTCATTACCATTACCATTACCATTACCATTACCATTACCATTACCATTACCATTACCATTACCATTACCATTACCACCATTACCATTACCATTGCCATTGCCATTGCCATTGCCACTCGCCACTACCATTACCATTGCCAGTACCATTTCCATTCCCATTCCCATTCCCATTCCCATTACCATTACCGCTGCCATTACCATTAGAATTCCCAATACCATTACCATTTCCATTACCATTACCAGTGCCATTACCACTACCACAATCATTTCCATTCCCGTTCCCGTTCCCGTTCCCATTCCCACTCCCATTCCCATTCCCATTACCATTACCATTACCACTGCCATTGCCATTACCATTACCATTGCCATTGTCATTGTCTCGCTACCCCGTTACCACTATCATTACCGTAACCATTACCAGTACCATTACCATTACCACTGCCATTACCATTACCATTACCATTGCCATTGCCATTGCCATTGCCACTGCCATTCGAGGATGTCAGTAGAAATCATTCAGTGGAGGGTTTCAGTAGGAATCCACATGTGGAGGATTTCAGTAGGAATCATTCAGCGGGGGGGTTCGATAGGAACCCTTCTGTCGAGGATGTCAGTGTGAATCCTTCTTATGAGGGCGTTTATTAGGAATCCTTCTAGGGGGGAGGGCAGACGTGGCCACGTCGCATTTCTTGATTTTCCCCCTGGCGCCCCCGCCCCCCTCCCCCCCCGGCAAAAAAAAACATCTGGGGGGGCGCCAGGATTTGTTGTTTTTTTGTTGTTGTTGTTCTTCTGGGGGGGGGGGCGCCAGGAGAAAAAAAAGGCAGAGAGGTAGGAGGAGGGGGAGAGGGAGGAGGAGGAGGAGAAGGAGGAGGAGGAGGAGGAGGAGGCGGAGGAGGGAGGAGGAGGAAGGAGGAGGAGGAGGAGGAGGAGGAGGAGGAGGAGACGACGACACAGAGCAGAGTTTGCACAGAAACAGTCGCGAACTCAGCGTGAAAGCCTCGCGCGCGCGCTTTGGAACCACAGGGACTCCACAATCCCCCGTTCTCGAGGAGGAGGAGGAGGAGGAGGAGGAGGAGGAGGAGGAGGAGGAGGAGGAGGAGGAGGAGGAGGAGGAGGAGGAGGAGGAGGAGGAGGAGGAGTAGGAGGAGGCGGAGGAGGAGGAGGAGGAGGAGGAGGAGGAGGAGGAGGAGGAGGAGGAGG